AAATTCTCCCGTCTTTAAAGCAGTTTTCGCAGTGCGCCCTGCTGGCCTAAAAGTTTTAAGCGCCAAACCATGAACTGCATCGTCCCCAGACTGGACTCAACTACCAACCAAACCTTGTTCCATGTTGTTCCCCCTCTCTTTTTCACCTAATTTTCTCTGATTTGTCTACTATCGCCTGTCTAATAAAGGCGTACAGTGCCGCAAATAAACAGCCCTTGCAATTGTGATTTAGCTGCTGGCACTGTCCTCCAAAACCAGACTGTGACTGCTTGACTCGTCACGTTGCGACAGCTGTGACGCAACCACCAGAGCTGATCGCTGCAGTGCAATGCTGGTGATTCCACCAGAAGCGGCTCCAGTACCTAGTTTATTTTTGAAAGGAAGCTGCATGAAGTTGCACAGTGCAGATCAATTTCAGTCCAATCCACAATACTTTATTCGTCCCTTGAGGGGCAATTAAGCAATAGCTTAGCAATAGAAATAGATATGTTGTGATTATATCACAGCTAAGGGGCGTGGTTCGGCCCGAAACGAAGCCAACACTGATCCATAAGTTAGTCCACCACAGATGGGCGAAGTTGACCTTGAATGTTTCAGTTTTATAGCAGATTGTTAGACAAACATTTTTTCATCAAGCGGAGTGATACCTAATTGTGACAAATTACCCTATACAGAACAATGATCGTAAAAACGGCCACAAAAAAACTCAATGTAGCCTAGTTACCCATCGTAGAAGCACATAAATCAAGCAAAACAACATATTTGCTTTTAAACTATGAACCCTGAGATCCACAGGTAGTATCCTTTTCCCCCATGGTGAGGCACTTTTCCTCACTCTGGTCCTCGTCTGTGGAACAGCCTTCCTGAGGAGGGCAGCATACAGTGTTGATATTTTTAAAAGCAAACATAAGACTAATCTCTGTAGTCTGGCTTTCAATTGATTTTTATTTATTTATTTATTATTATTATTGTTGTTGTTGTTGTTATTTGTATGGTATTAATAGTAGTAGTATTTATATGTTCCCTTTTTCTATTTACTTTAGAAACTATTTACTGTTACTATAATTTGTACATTTATTTATTGATACATTTTAATCTGTTTTATTACTTTGTTTAGATATTTGTACATCTGACTTGATGATATAGCGTTTTCTCAGTTTGAGTTTTAATGTATTGTATTGTTAATGTATTATTGTTCACAAAAACACGTATTACTTTGTGTGTGTGTGTGTGTGTGTGTGTGTGTGTGTGAGCATGGCCCGCAACTTTACTGTTTTG